AACAGTGTGTGAGCAATCATTCCCCCTCATTCACCACTACCACTGGCACTCGCGGTGTTTATGTCGCGCAGCATATCGAGGTCCTGACTTGACAAAATGGACACGCAACTTTGAGGCTCACACCCTTTTCTTGACTGTCAACTGCCTCGAGACGGTTTGGATCGAATTGATCAAGAATGGCCAGTTCATCTAGACATTCAGACAACGACGGCCGGTGAGTAAGCGGCACGATGGATCCTCTGACGTCCATGCATTTCCATGTCAACAAAGTCGCTCCTCTTCCCCGGGGAAGCACCTCGCTCTCGGCAGGCAGTCCCCAGAATTACCCGGCAACCGAACCCCCCTGGACCGTCTTGGTCGGTCTTGGCAAACCCGTCTCCTCCCACTTGAGCCTCAACACCGACCGGCCTTTCACGACTCGGCATCCCCGGCATCAGCAGTCACAGGCCGAAATATTCGGACACAACTCCTAGTTTGTGCATATGCTCTGGGATCTCGACAACTTCAAGTTCGTGACCCATTCCTACACATCCCTGTTCGGCCCATCCTACACGCCTGCTTTGCTTCTTGATCCCCATCAACCATGTTGGAGCAGACAACGGGATTGCAATATGGCATTTGATCTTGTTTTCTCCTTCATCATGTCTGCGTCTCCATATGTGTGTTGAGGTGTGCGGACTCTGGTTTTACAACTGGCATGAAACTGGTACCTGAGATCACTTCATTCCCTTCATTGGACTCTGAAAGAGTTGACTACTCTAGTGCTCCAGTCCTTTCGGTATAATACGTCCCTAACATGAAAATTGAGGAGCCAATCACAAGCCTTGATTGCTCTTTTCCCATGTCTCAACCGGAAGACCACTCATATCAGAACTCTCCCTGAATATTTTTTGGGTTCATAGCATATGTACATTTATGCTCTACTTTACCTCTCTCTCCCTCAGTTGTGACCCCATCATATCAATTGTTAACAATTGGCGTTAACAGTACTCACCTCGATTGGCCAATTCTCGCCGAACGTCAAAGTAGATGACTCCATTGCAGTTAGGTGGACACTCTCTTCCACCTCCTCAAAGACTCGACTTTTTCACTTCTACTGCTTGTCTCTTTTTTGTATTGACCATAACGCTGATATTGATCTGTTGTGTCGCGTTGGTCTTCCATGTGTTTGGATTAGCGTTCATCATCCCATCAGCTACGAGATATAGGAACCATACGACAATGTGGATCCAGCGCCGGCATATCAAGTATACCCTATGCGGTTACATTCACTGGACATCCACGTATGCCTTTCGACGAACGGAGTTGTTTGTAAGTGCTTCTCTTTGAGTTTGAGCTCTAAACTATGATGCCAGCTTCGGGTACCCGATTTCTTCTAGTTTCAAGTGCAGCATAAAAAGCTAACGTGAGCCCATGGATGACAAACTTTCCACCACACTGCACTATAGATGAACCGAAAGTACGAACGCAACAGTCTCAGCAAGGTAATCACGATGACCTCCAACGCCTCTAAATGCTGAGCTTGAACCTCCATCTTTGCCCCCCATTCCTCCGTCTAAGACGCAAAGTCCTTCGACCACCGACGACATGTCCGTGAGAGTTATGTTGGCTTGACCCCTCATACTTAACCGATTGTTATCATACCGCGCTCACCACTGGTAGAACCCCTTAACGCCATCCCCTGCCTTGATGGTTCTCTGGTAATTTGTTGTTTTCGTCCTTTTTCTCTCTCTCTCTTATTTTTCTTTTCTTTTTTTTTCTTTCTCCTTTTCTCTCTCTTCTTTCTTCCTCTTGTTTTTCCTGTGATGGATCGACAAAGATCGGCAAAGAGTCCGCAACCAAATCAAAAGAGAAACATAATAAGCTGGCTCATCCCTTTGGTTCAAAAAGCTCAGTTTGCGTGAGTATTCTTTCTCTGCCATAATGCCTGACGACAGACTGGAATAAACAAACCAAGCCACATCAACCGCAAGGAGAAAAAGACAGCAAAGAAAACTGAAGAAACAAGATAATTGGAATCCGCCACAGTAAATCCCAGACTTTGTGGCGGTCTAGCGGCAACGATCATATCAAGCATGCTTCGCCCTCTTGGAAGGTGACTGCTCACGCTCATCATCATCATCGTCCGGCTCAGACTGAAAGTCAAACATGTGGCCGCCTTTGCTGGACGCGCGGTTCTGGCCCAAGAAAGGGTCCTGGAACTGACCCTGTTGGCTCAAGGCATGGGAGTACTGGCTTTCCTGACCATGACCGCCGTGGCTGCTGCTGTCCTGTGTGGACTGAGAATGATAATTTCCATTTCCCGAATGCAAGGCACTGGCGAAGTTGTAAAAATCGGGCCGCATCAAGGGGGCCTTACCCAGCACGTCAGAAGCGCCGCTCAGACCCAGAGGAGAGCGGGGATCGCTGTAGACTGGCTCGTTGTAGTCATCGCCGGCGGCATCCGCGTCGCGCATGAGGTTGGTGATGGGAGGGAGGCGATATTCGTTGCTGGTATAGCCGTTGTGGTTCGTTGTGCGCGCTGGAGCGGGCTTGGGGGGAGAATCGAGACCCTCGAACTATGGGGGGAAACGGGTCAACAAACAGGCTAGATGGTAGTGTTGGAGGAGGACGAGTTGGGAAACTTACATCAGCATCTTCGCCCTCATCCTCAAACTGAGGAACATACGAAGGGACACTACCATTACCGTTACGGTTACCGTTACCGGCACCACCACCAGCACCGGCACCTTGGCCATCATTCTCCGAGTCATAACGCAAATAATACTCATCGGCCTCAGCACCGTAATCCTCAGCTTCGCCCTCATCATCAGCAACATCAGCTTCGCCCTGTTGATACTCGACAGACTGATGAGGCGCGCCGTAACCCCCCATGTCATCATCATCTTCGTCAGCATAGGTAGAGCGAGCAGTGACCTGCTTCTTAGCCCTAGCCGACCGGCGACTGGCCGACTTGGGAGCCTTCTTAGTACCCGGGCGGTACTCCTCATCAGAATCAAGATCAGCCGGGTCAGGCGAAGGCTCGCGTTTGATCTTGACGACACCCCGAGCGCTGCCACGGCTAGCTCTCATGCGTCCACCACCACCACCACCACTACCGCCAGAGCTGCCATCACCAATGGGACCAACACCCGCCAAGATACCACCACGGGCACCGCGAGGGGTGCCAGTGCCGCTGCCACGAGGGGTACCAGCACTGCTGCCTCCTCCTCCACCACCACCACCACCACCTCTTCCAAAGTTCTCCACAGCATCCGGCAGGTTAAACTTCCTATCCTCCATCGGCTCATCAAACCGGACAGCCCTAGTCGTGAGCTGATCATCCGGGTTCTCCTGGTTGGCACGGACGTAGCCGCGGACGTGCGGGTCGACAAAGACGCGGGAACCCGGTTTCTGGCAGATGGGCGGGACCAAGTGGCCCTCGGCGATCAGGTGGCTGCGCAGTCGGTTGAGGTGCTGGTGGATGGCGCTTCCCGTTGAGCCCGGGTGCAGGCGATGGGCGATGGAGTCCCAGGGGATATCGACGCGGTAGCGGCTGCATTCGTATTGGATGTGAAGGAGGAGTTTCTCGGCCATGCGGGGGCCTGCGAAGAAGGAGAGAAGACAGAGGGGTTAGTTGTTGTGGCTTGGGGTATATGGGGTTGATTACCCGCGGCGATGTTGTTGGACGGCGTGGGGGTGGGGGGGGGGGGGGGGGGGGGGAGGGTATAGTACTTACGGCTCCAGGTAATCAAGTTTCTGCCTTCGACGCGGCCGTTCTTCTTGCGCTCTTCGTGACTCGGGGGAAGGTAGGTGAAGTTCCACTCCTTCGCTGGTGTGCCCTCGTCCTTCTTTGCGCCGCCACCGCCAGCAGGTCTAGAAGGGGTCGAGGGTCCGGCGAAAGCGGCACTGGAGGCGGAGTTGACGCGGGCGTGATGGGACTTGACCGCGGGTGACTGGCCCAGCTTGGTGGGTGACTTTCTTGTACCGCCCATTTTGGAATTTGTCCTTGGAGGGGTTGTCTTTGCTCCGTCGTCTTGTTCGGCAAGTCTTGCGCTTTTAGAAGATTAAAGGATGGGGCTCTTTCCTCTCTTTCACCGGAGTATCGACCCGTTTTGTTGTTGCGGCTAAAAAGACCGGAGGTGAAAGGTCAGCGTTGATCCGTCAACTGACTGTCAGATCAAGACAACAGATGGCTTGAGGTGATCTTGATTGTTTGACAGTATGGGAGATGTGCCCAGAATGAGGGAGAAGTCAAAGTTGTTTGTCGAACTTTCACGAGAAAAGGCGACTCGCGATAATGACGATGTGACTCGAAGCAAAAATATCGGCGTCAATACGACGAAATGAGGTGAAAGTTGGTGACGACACTCCATCACCTGGCAAGATCAAGACAGTTCTTTGCGCGAAGGGACACTCGTTGACTTACTCTAGCGCAAACGTGAATCGATGGTGATGCTGTACCGCACTCGACGGGTTGTTGCCTCTGATTTCAAAGCAAGGTGAGAAAGGGGCACGAAAAGTGAGGTTATGTTGAAAGATAAAGATATGCCTAAGGGACAGATGAGGAAGTACGTGCGGTGAGTGGGTCACTTGACGCTCAAGAATCACTCAATAACTTTTGTTGGGCAGTTTCCAAATCCACCGTTTGATATTTCTCCAGGAGGTCATTGAGCTGTTATTGGAGCGCGGGGTGTAAGTAACGGACGGGTCAAGGTCGTCGAAAGGCGGAAGGGGAAATCTTAGAATAGGGTTTCTGGGGCAACGGACGGGACCACTTCCTCTTATTCTCCATGCGACGTTTGAACAATAAGATGCAAAATGTATGTTGATTCGCTACCTAGTCATTCAATTGTCTGTTGACTCGAAGTCAGATCGAAGATGTGATTTCTGGGCATCTTGTCGGAAGAGCGCTTGGTATTGAAACGAAGCATTCACTTGCTCTGTACTCACTCCGCAATGCTACAGACGTCAGGTGACGGTATCAGGTGTACCATAATTTTCTTGAAGGAGTCTATGACATAAGCTGGTACATGGCTGGCCTATCACGAACACGTGTGTTATGTTCCAATAATCGATACTATTCAGCGAACAGAATACTTGATGCATCGAACCCTGAGGCATAGTATAAACATTTTTGGAAGACGAGCCTCGAGGAAAGAATTTCAGATGTACTTGTATTCAGAGGCACACAAGACGTGAGAGAAACCGGGGAGACCGTTTGTCTGAGTAGGAAACATGAAACTGAGGGTATTGTACCCATAAATGCAAGTGGTTCTGGCATTGATCTATTGTATAGGAAGTTATATTAGAGCCAAGTTAGAGAGAGTGTACGCAACTCGCAAATATAGTGTGATTTGTAGCCCGGGAATTTGTTTTTGTCGAAGAGGAAAGCGTATTGGAAACTTTGGTATCTCAAACATAGTAACCCCAAGTTCAGAGGATCAAATGAACTCAAGATCTGAATCCCACATGTCCTGATCTTCTAGGCTTGACATATCTTCCTCTTCTTCTTCCAGTTTTTGCTGTAGTTTCCGGGCCCGATCCCGTGAAATTCCCATGAGATCTGCCCAATCTCGGTAGGAGAAGTTCTCATCGTACGAGATTCTAGACCTCGCTTCCCGGGTTGAGATAGCCATACAATATACCTCTGTCGTTGACAGCTCATAGTCGGGCACTATCTCGTCTCCATCACGCGAGATCCCCAATATTGCGAAGACATAATCCCTGGGATCTGTTGCCTTGAAACCGTGAATGCACACTATATCCAGCCAGTTATCAAGGGTTGGCCCTGGTGTCCTTGCGAGCAAGCCGCCAAGCGCAATCATTCGTTCCACCGGAGCTCTGTAGACTAAATCCTGCGCTGGCCAGTTCGTATGCGCCTCAGTGCCCGACTTGTCTCGAGGCCCTCTTATTGACCACCATTTGGCAATACTCAGCCCCGACTCGAAACATTCCTTCGTAACAAATGCCCGATTGCATAAAATCACATAGTCCCTTGCCAGTGCAAACTCCTGCAAGATCCATACTCTCCTCCAGTATGTCGCGTCGCAATATAGGTCCGTGAGCCCCTGACGTTCCTTCCAGCTAAGATTCCCTTCTCTGACATACTTATGTAGATCCCCTTCTTTCATCTTCAGTAATGCCATAGCTTCATCAGTGCACGCTGTTCCCTTTCCCAACCAAACAATCACCATCTCTGCGGCCTCGTAGATGGTTTTCATCAACTGGACCTGGCGGCCCTTTTCCCGATCATCAAGCTGGTTAATGCAAAGGGCGTCCACCCAAAGATAGAAAGGTGATGTACCATAGAGTTTTTCATGGTTGTGGAGGATGCTGTGAAGAGCGTCATGAAGATTTTGGCGGATATGGATGGGGTGGTTGTCGAGAAGCATCGTCCGAGCGTCTGAGGGGTTTGAAGGGGGAGAGCCCCATTCATAAGAGAGGGCTTTATACGGTTGGTAGGAGGAAGGATCACGACATCCTGGACCTGCCCAGCTGACTTGAAGTGTAGCTGAGATGAGTGGAATGTTTTGAGTAGAAGAGGATACTGGGGGCTCAAAGCGGAGGAGGCGGATGTGTCTATCGGACGGGAGAGGCTCGTAAGGATAATTTTCGGTGAAGACCGACACTTTACGATCAGTTGATGACGACGGCGTATCTCCTGGAGAGGAGAGAGACTGGTTCATGTGGGACTCGGAGTCTGATAAGATTTTGGGGGACATTGCGAACGAGTGTTTGCGTGAGGTTATGGCTGACGCTTGCCTAAGGTAGGTGGTATTTCGCTTTAAGCGGCGAAGGTAGGTATGTATTATTGATGTGCGACTTGAGAAACAAATACATGACAATGAAGAAAGAGAGAGAAGAGTAAATCTGAAGGGTTGTGAAATCTGGACACACTGGATGTAAACCCAAAGGTTGTCAACCCAGCCGGTGACACAGCCTCAGCTGCCACCAGCTCACCTACAAAGACGTGACCAATCACGCACCGAAGAACAACTCATCAACTTCGACCAATTGTGGCTCACGTCTCCCTTCAAAGCCACACTACAATATAATGCTGGTATGTTTGTTATGTAGTTTGGTTCTTCGGCCATGGGTTGAACAGGGGAGATATAGAGCTCTTATTAGCTTCCTTCGAGTTTTTGTTTCGAGCGACTAACAATGACCAGGGTGTGATACCACAAAAGCCTCTTTTTATGCCTCCATCCGTCTCCTTGAAGACCTCCAAGCTTGGAAAATACAAAAGGGTAGTCCCCATCTAGTGCCTATCTATTTAAAAATCACCGGAAAATCGAACACTTCTTCACTTTCGGGGGCTCTCGAGTGGAGATGGGCGTTTTTTGTACCAAAGTAACAAACATACCAGGGTTAGATTGTACACCTATTATAGCGTCCTCAGAGGTGGAAAGCTAGGGAAGCTGTATGGGCACTAATTTGGTGGCAGAAGGGCTGGACACTTGAAGAAATTGAACTGTTAGCATTGCAAATTCGAATCCTTCTTCCTTTCACATCTTTTATTTTAGGTCGGAATCTCAAAGCGTGTTAGCCACATACACCGAGGGAGGCATTTCACGCAACGCGCAATGAGGAAAGCCGGATAACAAAGGCAATATTTTCGGTATTTCTTTGACTATCACCCAGCTTAACAACGACAATGTCGGGCACGAAACGCTCAAAACTAACATTGTTGAGGTTGAAAGCGGTCGGTGCAACTTGAACCCCCTCACATCTGTCCTCAGCATTATTGGTTATGTATATTAGGGTGCGCAAAAGAACAAAGAGGTGCGCCGCTTACCTATAACGATTGTCGACGTCCCTAAGGTGTACCCATATCAACCACTTCTGTCCGAGAATCACATCCGCCTCCTTCTCCTTGAGCCACTCGCTCCATCCTCCACCCAGAAGTCTCAACCCATCTGTGCCACCCTACACCAAGTTGAGCTCGATTCAAAAAGTTTGAGTACTCGACCATACAAAGCCCTGTCATACGAGTGGGTAGTTCGCAACGAGCAAAGTGGGCATAAATGGCGGGTCCACGAAGAACAAAATGAGGTTAACCCGACCATCCTCCTGAATGGCCATATCGTTCACATCGGCGAGAACCTTTACAACGCACTCAGAAGTATAAGACACTTAGATGGCGAGATAGGTGGTTCGCATCTTTGGTTATGGGTAGACGCGCTGTGTATCAACCAGGGCGACGTACAGGAAAGGGGCCGTCAGGTGCGGTCGATGAAACGCATTTACGAAAGCGCGGAAATGGTGCTTGTGTGGTTAGGAATGGGGAACGACCTGACCCATTCGGCGACAAAGATATTGAATTTGGAGGTAAGCGAGTTGCGATACCGTTTCGTCTGGGATACGGACGAGCGCGATGAGCTGCGTGGGATCCGACAGATCTGCGAGATGGGGTACTGGCGCCGAGTATGGATTCTGCAGGAGGTTGTGCTGGCGAGGAACTACATGGTCATCTGCAACCAAGACTTCGTGACGATGAACAGATTTGAAAGAGCACTGGCCCTTCTGTGCAAGCACACCTGGAAGACGAAGTTGAGAGAGTTAGTACTTTGGCTGCCAGAGAGCCCGGCGCAAGAGATCATGACTTTGAGGAGTTCAAGAGGGACAGCATCATCACTCATTCAGTGGGTGAAAATATGTGTGCGGTGCCGTTTTGGCGCAACGGATCCAAGAGATTATGTGTACGCACTTTTGGGACTCTCGGACGACTGTGAAGGAAAGATTGAGCCGGATTATTCGCGATCAGCGAGGGAGGTATATTCTTCGACCGTTGCAGTGATTGCGAACAAGGCTGAAGGGTATAATGAGATTTTGTGTGGAAGCTTTGCAGAGTTGATGGGGTTGCGCTGGTCGCGCGGTGTGGGAAGAAGTTTGCGGGAGAAAAGCTGAGGAAGAGGAAGCTGAGGAAGAGGTAGACGAGGGAGATGAGTCTGCTGTCATGGCAGCTTCTCTACACGCCTTGCGATATAGTCTGCCATTATATCCTGCAGCTCTCGGGAAAAAGGTCGATTTATTCTCAGAGCGTTCGAGGTTCAGGTTGGAGCTTCTTGGGGGATATCGATATTGGTTATCGCAAGAACCCGAAGGTAGGCCTTCATCCTCTGAGGGCACGACTACAACTAGTTTAGTTGTGTTGATGGCTGAGCCACACTGGGACTGGTGTTTGCCAACCAGTCATCCAGTCGTATCTAGACATGAGATCCGTCGAATATAGGGGGTTCAGAGCTACCACTAATCCATCACCTCGATGGATCTCCAATTTTTGGGTGTTTGGTGTAGTGGTTAGTATGTGACAAGATCCATCCACTTGATCAAATAACGCAGGCCGCGCTGGATCTAGTGTAGCCCAGATCAATGGCCACGGATGAGCCACAAACGACCCGTATCCTTCCCTACAGCTATCCCAACCCACGCTGTGACCGTCCAACTCCATTTCATTCGTTCGTCTCATCCCAAGCATGAGGTTCATGCCAACGCTACACGGTGTTGACGCCAGTTTCTGGGTACTGGTCAGATCCACAAAATCGACCGTCTGACTAGTGGGAAACCAAGTGAACCTTAATCAGGTGAGAAGGAGGAATCGAGAAAAAGAAAGGGAGCAGGTGCTCAAAGGCACTGACTGGGAAATGTGACCATGCAGGGAGAGTCAGGCGGCGAGGCCGGAGTCCATAGGTTGCCTGAGAGAGTGGTGTAGGTATTTCGGGGGAGATGGAAGACACGGCCGCTTTCCTTTGCAAACACAGAATAACACACAAACAAAATACTATCGAATACATGGTATCGAACTCCGTATAGACCGAGCGAGACTGCGCTGCCTGAAAGTCTCAACAATAAATAGCCTGACAATTTTCCCACTAAGAAACGCCGCCCAATGCAAAAGGAGATAGTAAACGCATAGCATGAAGCGCGAGAGACCGCACAAACCATGGCACACGAAAGCCAAGAACACCGCAACAATTACTCCAGCTTGGCCAGGATAGCCTTCTCTCTCTCTGCCTTGCGCTTCTCGAACTGCTTGACGGAGTGTTTCCTCTCGTTCTCCTCCCTTCTCTTGATAGCCGCAAGCTCCTCGCGCTTGATCTCGGCCGCTTTCTTGACCACCTTGGGCAGGTGCCTGTGACGGGAGATGCGCTTGATCTCGGGCATGTGAGAATACCTCTCGACCAAGGTCTTGTTGTACTCGAGCGCCTGTCTCTGCTTGGTCGCCTTGACGCCGCTGCGTTCCGAGGCGTTGGCACGCCACAAGCGGATGTTACCCTGTATATCACGTTAGCTGTGCTGATCGAGCAGTTGGAGAAAAGAAAGGAGACAACGTACATCATCACTACCGCTGAGAAGGTACTTGGAGTCCATGGTCCAGGTAGTCCGGAACACCCTCTGCATACGCTTGGTGTGGTAGACATCGCGAGACATGCCCTGGTCACGGCGCCATACCCTGATTGTGCGGTCATACGAACCAGTCACGAGCTCCTCGCCGGTAGGAGAGAATTCAACGTCCATAACCGCCGCAACGTGGCCCTTTTGGATATTCTGCGCCTTGGTGAAGTTCCTGGCGTCGAAGAGGTAGACATTGTGATCTTCCGAGGCAACGGCCATGTTCATGGCCTCCATGGGGTTGAAGACAATGCGGTTGGCGGCGAACTTGAGAACAGTCTTGATGACGGGCATGTTGGTGCGCAAATCGAAGAGAATAACGGAGCGATCTGTGCCGACGGAACCCACGATCGAGGTCTCAACCTGGTTGAAGCAAACATCGGTGATGGTGTCGCTGTGGTTCGGCCACTGTATCGTCTGAGGAGCCGTGCTGTGCTCCAGATCCCAAACACGAATGCAGCCGGCACCCGAAGAGGCGACGAAAGAGTTGGTGGTGCGATGGAACGAAAGAGCCGTGTATGGACCACCTTCCTGCCATGTCGCGAGTGGCGATGGAGAGTCGGTCTTGGTATAAGGGTCCCAAAGCTTGATGCCGTCAGTGGCACATGTGAGAAGCTTCTTGTCGTTGGTGAAGGTCATTCCCTTGACGATATTGTTGTGGGCGGCGGCCTTCCATGCTTCATCCCGTGTTGTGAGATCCCAGACCTTGACAATACCGTCACCCGAACCGGAAGCGATTGTGTGTAGCGAGTTCTTGTCCTTGGCCATGCTGTAGACACCCTGAACGTGGCCATTTCCTAGCTGGCCGAGGAAGGGCTTGGCGAAGACTCTCTCCAACTTGACGGCATTGAGGGCTCTCTTGTACTCGCGAGCGCGCTCGAAGGGATGGAGTTCGGGCGCAAGGTTACGGGGTGCGCGGGTGACGTCGTTACCGGGGGCCTGTTGGGCCGAGATGTTTCGGCTGAGGGCTTTGATCTGTTGTAGAAGTGTCAGTGGTGAGCCTGGAAGTGGGTTTGCGAATCTTGATAGGCATCGCGTATGGTAGGCTCAAGTACCTTCATGGTGACGGTGTTTCTCTGTTGATGAGGTTGAAGGGGTCGTGGATGAGAAGGCTACCAAGGCCGACGAGTATCGAGTGTGAATGAATCGTATATGGTAAGGCCGGGTATGGCTGAAGTCAGTCGGTACACCTTGTCGCAAAGCACAGGTGCTGTGATACGGTTATCGATCTTGGAATTAATAAATGAATGGATGAATGGATGGATGCCGGGAGCGTCTGTCGCCAATTGGGGGGCAGTTTGACAGCTCCCGTCCCTTTCCTCTGGAGAAATTTTGGCGGGGTCTGGCGGCAAGAATCTTGACCGCCTTCTTGGCAATCTACTAAACGCTTAGGCTTGGAGTGTTAGAGCTTCGCTGCCAAAAGGATGGACAGGGCCTGAGCTACCGAGAGCTGGGCTTGCCTGCCGTGAACTGACAGGGATCTGTAGTGGAGGTGGATGTCTCCAGCTAATTACGTCGCGCCTGGCTACCTAGCGGTACCAGTACGTACAGAGGTCTCGTTAGTGGACATGCCGCCTGCACTTGATTTGGGTAACAGCTGTGCTCCAGCAGAGGACGGGTGGTGAGGTTCGTCACGACACCACAACCTGAGCTCCAACTTCAACAACCCAAACAACCACAACTTCCAAGCCGACGCTCTGCGACCACCGATACGCCGCATATCCCCCCGCCACCTCGAGTAATCACCATCGTATTCGATAGCCAAACTCTCGATTTATACCACTACCGCTTACCACTTGACGACCGGGACAAACAGCACACGACACAATGGCCCAGGGCGAAGCATCAGAGAGAGTGCGCGAGGCGCAGAAGGTGGTCTCGACCGACCCCCGCCAGGCCGAGCAGATTTACAAGGATATCATCTCCAAGCCGCCATCAGTCACCTCTGACGCGGCCATCCGGGAATATGAGACGGCTTTGATTCACTTGGGAGAGCTCTATCGCGACGAGAAGTAAGAGTGGCGGGTGTATGTCGTGGTCATCGAGGAGGGGCATGGTCACTAACCTCCCATCACCCTGTACAGGAACACACAAGGCCTTGTAGACCTCGTAACCCAGAGCCGCACAGTTCTTTCCTCGTTCGCAAAGGCAAAGACGGCAAAGCTTGGTACGGCCCCGCCATCAGCTTGTTGACGAGCTACACAAGCTCATGAGGATACTAACACTGGTTGATACACACAGTCCGCCAGCTCCTCGACCTCTTCGAAGCCATCCCCGACTCTCTCGACATCCAGATTTCCGTCACCAAGTCGTGTATAGAATGGGCCACATCAGAGCGCCGCTCCTTCCTCCGCCAGAACCTCGAAACCCGTCTTGTCGCCTTGTACATGGCCAAGCAGTCCTACTACGATGCCCTGACGCTCATCAACGGTCTCCTCCGTGAGCTGAAGCGCATGGACGACAAGCTCGTCCTCGTCGAAGTCCAGCTGCTCGAGTCGCGGGTATACCACGCCCTCGGCAACATTGCCAAGGCCCGCGCCGCCCTCACCAGCGCGCGCACGAGCGCCGCCTCCGTCTACACCCCTCCTCTGCTCCAGGCCAACCTGGACATGCAGTCGGGCATGCTGCACGCCGAGGATAAGGACTTCAACACGGCCTTCAGCTACTTTATCGAGGCGCTGGACGGCTACCACACGCAGGAGGAGCCACAGCGGGCCCAGGCCGCGCTGCAGTACATGCTGCTCTGCAAGATCATGCTCAACCTCGCCGATGACGTCAACCAGCTCATGACCTCCAAGCAGGCCGTCAAGTACGCCGGCAAGTCGCTCGAGGCCATGAAGGCCATTGCCCGCGCCCACAGCAACCGATCTCTCGAGGAGTACGAGCGCGCCCTGGCGGCTTACCGGTATGAGCTGGGTAGTGACACCTTCATCCGCAACCACCTGCGACGCCTGTACGACGCTATGCTGGAGCAGAACCTGATCAAGGTCATTGAGCCCTTCAGCCGCGTGGAGATTGACCATATCGCCAAGATGGTCGGCTTGGACACCCAGCAGGTGGAAAGGAAGCTGTCGCAGATGATCCTGGACAAGGTGATCATTGGAGTGCTGGACCAGGGCGCCGGCTGCCTCATTATTTACGATGAGACGCACCGGGATGAGGCGTACGATGCGGCGCTGAAGACCATTGAGAAGCTTAGCAATGTGGTTGATGTGCTTTATACCAACCAGGCCTCGCAGCTTGAGTAAAAAGCGAGGTTCAAGGCAGAAGCAGAAGCAGATGGATGGTTTAAGGGTTTAGAACTTGGGGTTCGTCTGTAACATTACGCTTAGATATGGTATTAGTCGGGCGTACTGAAATAAACACGATAAACCACATGATTCTAAGTCTAAGTTTTGAGCAATGATAGTGGTCTGGTCTTTCAAAGTGTTGCAGATATGTGATATTGTATGTCCAAATTTCAGAAACTAAAAACAACCAATGTTTGTACAAAGAACCATTCAACAACATGGTATCTCCTACTTATGCATCCAGTTATACTTTGGGTATCCAGTTCCTTCTTTCACTGTTCTTCCCTTCTCCTCTTCCCATCCATCCAGATTCTTTCATGTCCTTTCCCCACGCTTGATACACAACTAATCCAACAGCTCTCACAAATTCCCACACATACCTTTAACTAACAAACGACCCCCCTCCCCCTTCTCCTCCCCCTATCAACCCGTCCCTCCCTCCTCCTCCTCTCCCCCACCAAAAACGCATACACCCGTCTGACCAACTCCCCCTCACTCCACCCCCCCTTTTCCTGTTCATCCATCGCAAAAACACCACCGTAAAGTTCATCTGTTCCCCAAGCCCGTCTGAACATCTCCCGAAACTCGTAGACGACGTCCAAATGCCATTGCTCAATCACCACCGACTCGTCAATGGGTAGACGCGTGACGGGGTCGTAAGTGGTTTGCTGAGGCGAGGGGCGGTAGGTTTGGTGCAGGAAAGAAGAGAGGGTGGGGGAGTGTGGGTAGTAGAGATGAGTGGAGGCCCGTTGTTTGCCTTTGCCTTTGGATTGGGATTGGAGGGCGCGGTGGGCGTGGATTACGGAGGAGAGGATGTCCCAGTGGGAGGTGCTCCAGAGGTGGGTTGGTGGGGGGAGTTGTTGTTCTTGTTGGTGGTCATGGGAGTGGGATGTGGTGGTGGTGGCGGTGGTGGAAGTACCCGTGGTGGAAACACCGGTGGAAGCTTGGCCGTTATGGTGTTGAGAGGTTGATGTCAAGGCCGAGGTCGACGGCTGAGAGGATTGTTGCTGTTGTTGCTGTTGCTGGCCGAAAGACGAAACTGGTGGGAGAGATGGATAAAGCGGCTGCAGAGGCGTGACGATGTTACGGTTGGAAGGCGGAATAGGAGGCGGTAGTGATTTGCGGCGACTGTAGCCAAACAGAGAGACGCCAGAGCGGATGACGGGGGAGTTTTCGAGGGTGGATGTGGGTTTAATGAGCGGCGGTTGTGCTGCTGGTGGTTGACGTGGTGCAGCAGCAACTTGTGGTTGTTGCTGTTGTGGTTGTGATTCCTGTTGCTGTTGCTGCTGCCGTTGCCGTCCACGTCCAGGGCTCAGTGGGCGAGGGAATGCAGGCGCAGGTCCTGGTGCTTGGACTGCTGGTGCTGGCGCGGGGCTATGCTCGTACCATTCAATATCATCATCCATATTCATATCCATATCCATGTCCGTATCCGCCGCGTCATCCAATTTGTGCTGTTCCTCGTCCTGATAATCCTCCTCATACCTCCCAGGCGTATTCTCCTGAATCCTCTCCGAGCCCGCAGGACTAGGAACAGGACTGCTCTCCGTGTGGGTACTGGGCGAGCTGGTGATAATCACAGGAGTGGAACGGCCACCGAATACAGGACGCCTCTGTTCAACGTCTGCGTTGCGCCGAGGAGTAGGCGACTGTCGGACACTGTTGGCAAACTGCACCGCGCGGCCGGGCGTATGGCCCTTGGTCGGCGGTCGCAAGGCAGACTTGACAGGGGAAGAGTTCTTGTCAGGCAGAGATCGAAGCGGAGGTGGCTCGAAGTTTTCCTCGGTGGATGACTGTTCTTCCTCGAGTTCCACTATCTCGTCGTAGTCGTCCATGTCCTCTTCAGGCTCTTGCTCTTCTTCATCCTCGTTCTCCGGTCCGTACTCAACGCTCTTAGCGGGCGGATCCGAGAACAGCTTCGAGATGGACTCCTTAAGACCAAACAGCAACTGCTTAGGTTTGTCAGTTATCGAATTCGGAGTGGTTCCTGAGCCTGAGTCGTTGTCTTTGAGAGGCAGAGTCGTGGCAGTGCTGGTCTTTGTTCCGCCGCCCCGTTCGAACAAGGGGAGCTTAGCGCCTGGTTCGCGTCGCACTGGAGTGAAGTTCTGTTTCTGCGGGACCGGAGTGTAGATGCTTCCAGACTGTGGTGGTGAGGAGGAACCGATGATGGAGGAAGAGTGTCGAAGTACACGTTGTGCCGGTTGCAGGGGTCGGGAGGATTGCCCTGATAACACGGGCGCTGTACCCAGAGGTGAAGGCTGAAACGGCTTTTGGGAAACTGGCACAGAAAGACGCTGAGATGATGGAACGCGGCCTATGGGAGTCGTTCCTAGCTTCCTCTCAGCTTCCTGACCTGTAGAAAGGTGCTGTGACCGCTCCGAAAGGGCTCCCGAACCAGATGACACCTTGCCGTTGGCTTGACTTTGCCTATCGAGCACTTCGGGCCCAGACTGAAGAGAAGCATTACCCTCTGGACCCTGTAAACTGATTTCCGGAATAGGTGCAGGCGACGAGAAGAAGCTCGAAAGATTCGCTTTCTTGTTCGGAACGGGCTTCAACGCAGGCCGGAACTTCTTGGCCCGACTGGAATGAAGGAGGCTAAACTCTTCCAGCTCGTCACTCTTGTCTGCGGCTTTGTTCAACTGATCCCGAACCATTTGACTCTTGTTGGAATGCCAGCGGGAGCTAGGCTGGGGCTGATGAGTTGAGGGAAGGAAGCTGGCAGGATCGTTCTCCTTTAGGGTGGATTTGGCTTTGACTGCGGGAGATGAACGCATGGCTTCGAGGAGGAAAAGATCCTCCTCCTCCTCTTCCTCCTCTTCATGGTGCTCTATTGCTTGTTCCCCTTGCTGAGCTTGGTGATGGCCCTCTTCTTCTTCCTCCATATAATCCATCCGGTGGTCTTGCTCGTACTCGTGCTCGTGCTCGTCTCTTCGATGTTCAAGCGGAGATTCTTCACGATGATGGCTCTCTTCCACATGAGTCATATCGTAACCTTCACCTTCGGAAAAGCTCTCATGGTGTGCCCTCTCCACTTCAGTCGCTTGACTCTCTCCCGAGCCTCGCAGTTGATCATCTCGCAAGGAAGTCTTGCCACGCCCGAGCAGCAGCTCGCGTTGACGACTTCTCTGAGAACCACGACTCGTCCGGTGCTCTTGACCTTCCTCTGCAAAGTCATCTCGGGCTTCGTCCGCCTCTCTCCTCTTTGGCTCTGCCGAACTTCGCTGGTAGCCATGCCGCCTGGAATCTCCACCTCGGTTGGATTGGGACTCTTGTCTCTGACTGCTTTCTTCCACAAACCGCGAGTGCTGCCCTTTTCTTTCCTCTCCATACTCATGCCGCTCGTCCTCGGCTTCAGTCACCTCTCTGGCATCCCGTTCCTTTAAGCCGCGCGTGTGGTCATCATGCCTAGAATCGCTAGCTCGGCTGGACTGCGACCCGCGCGGCCCGCGTGACCAGTGGCGATGACTCTCTTCAACGTGACTAGAACGACGGCCTCCTCTTTCCTCTTCATACTCATGCCGCTCCTCCTCCACGATTTCCTCGGTCACCTCACGCACTTCCCTCGCTTCCCGTTCGCCAGAACTTCGCTGGCGGTGACCATGTCCCCCAGAAGAAGAAGAAGACGAGGCTTTACCTCGGTCAGATCGGTTGGAGTGGGAGGACCCGTGTCGGCGGCTCTCCTCACCATGACCGCCCCAGCGGTAGTGTTCGCTCTCATGCTCATACTCTTCCCGGACCTCCTCCGTAATTTCTTCGGTCACCTCTCTCGCCCCTTGTTCTCTCCTTTCCCGATCTTCCCTCGTCTCTCGCTCTTTTGACCTTTGTCGAGAAGACGAGGCTTTACCTCGGTCAGATCGGTCAGAACGGGAGCTCCCATGTCGGTAGCTCTCCACCTCCTCACGACCACTCGAGTGACGACCACCCGAGTGATAATGTTCGCTCCCATGCTCATACTCCTCCTCCCGGACTTCTTCTACGATCTCCTCCGTCACCTCTCTCTTTCCCCGCTCCCTTGCATCGCTTCGTCCCCGTTCTTCCCTTGTCGTCTCCCGCTCTTCCGACGACCTATGCCGAGAAGAACCATGCCGGTGACCATCCCATCCATGTCCATGTCTCCTAGAAGAATGACTACTTTCCCTGAAGCTGCTAGATTTGGCATCGCCTTCTCCGTAAATCCGCTCTTCCTCTCTCTCTTCAGTTACCGTCTCAACTTCGACACTTTCCCTAAAGCGAGCCTTTGGTTCCCTTTCCCGTTCCCGCTCTTCTCCCACTGATCTTCTCAAGGTAGAGTTTTCCGGCCGTCCATGTCTCCTGCCCGAATGACTATTACTACTATTCTCCTTGAAGCTCGACCTGGCCCTGGCATCACCTCCGTAGGATCCCCAGATTCTTTGTTCCTCTCTCTCTTCTGTGACCGTTTCCACCTCGATGAATTCCTTATAATCACGACGAGCTTCGGGTTCGGGTTCGGGTTGGGAAGGTTCCCGAGAATCATGATCTTCTCTGACTGATCCTGATCTCCGAGTAGAGTTTTCCTCCCGAGTACTAGTACGTGCTCGCTCTCCAGAGCTGTCGTGATGGCTGCTGCTGTCGTGAAAACCAAGGCTAGCGGAGGCGGACCTGTCACGGGTCACGTTGATTTCGTGACTGTGACTGGATTCTTCTGCTTGCCAGTCCATGGCTTCATGCTCATGTTGATGCCCGTGCTGTTCGCGCTCGCGCTCGCGCTCGGAGAAGGAAGAAGCGGCCTTTTTTGTGCTGCCGAAGGTGGTGTTGGCTTGAGGTTGTCGAGTGGAAGAATTGGTGCTAGCTTGACGTTGGCTTGCGAAGCTAGTCTCAGATTGGGCTTGTCTGTCGTGAGTGGTGCCAGACTCAGCTTGAGTATGTCCGAAGTTGGTATTTTCTTGACGCTGTCTGTCAAATTTGGTAGTCACTGAAAGTTGCTTTATGGCATGGCTGCTGCTGGCCTGAACTTGAGATCTGCCGAAACTTGTGCTTGCATCGGCTTGTCGGTCAAAGCTGGTATTGGCCTGACTTCGTCCACCAAAATTAGCGTCCGCTTGTGCCGATCTTTCAAAGTCGGTGATGGTGCCTTGAGCATACGGTTCTCCGAAAATTTGGCGTTGGCTGCCAAAACCCGCAACGCCTTGAGCATATGGTTCGCCGAAGACTTGGTGTAGGCTGCCGGAGCCAGCATTAACTTGACTATGTCTAACAAAGCCAGCGTTGTCTTCAAATTGCGTTCCAAATCCATTGTAACCATGAGTTTGCCTGTCAGAACTGCTACTGGCGCGACTTTGTCTCTCGAGGCTAGCGCTGGCTTGAGATTGTTTCTCGAAGCTGACACTGGCACTAGCAGTACCACTGGCATCTTGACTATCGGAACCGCGCTTGCTCATCCTGCTGCCGAAGAGCGAGTTGCGCCCGGTGCTTCCTCTAGAAGAACCGGGTGGATCTGGACCAAACGGGTCGTCCATGGCGATGTCCATGGAACTAGTCGCGCCAGCAGTGGCTGATGCTTGTCTGGAGCTTTCCCCGGTATTAATGGAAGCCTGCCTCGAAGCATTCCGTGGCGATAAGACTTGCGCTCCTTGGGCTACCAGATTTTTTATCGAGCCAAACAAGCCGAATCCAGATCTTTCAGGCTGGTTACGGGCATTCTCAAACTGGGCTTGGGGCAACGGCTGAGATTGAGGTTGAGCCTGCGGTTGGGATTGAGGCTGGGGTTGAGAAGCTCTGGAGGCCGACGGTGAGGGTGATCGGCTGTCTTTGACCTCAGGCACCCCTCGGAAGGGACTGCGCAGAAAGCTTCCCATACCTGGAGGCGACGGAGGGTCCGAGGTTACCTGTTGCAGTGCTTCACCAGCTCTGATGATTGGAGATAGAGCCGGCCGGTTTTGTGAGTCAGGTGGGGGCATCAAGTTCTGAGGGTTAAGTGCCGGAAGACCTGGCGGGGCCAAAGATGTCAGTCGGTCGGCCGGGGTCTCGTTCGAGTTGGATCTGACTCGGCGTAGTGGAGGTTCGGGGCGCTGCTGCTCGTGTCGAGAAAAACTTCCAGTTGGGGGAGAGGAAGGCATTTCATCGTCTGGAGTGGGCTCGGTAGACTCGGTGGGCTGTCTTTGCTCGTCATCGTTAAGCTCAGCGTCGTCGTTATCTGCCTCTACGTTGGCATGAGTACCGAAGTCGTCCTGGAAGTCGTAGTCGCGAGGTTCTGGAGGGACAGGAGATGGTGTCTTATCAGGTGTCAGAATACTGTTCAATGCATGTAAGGGGGTGGAGATATTCACAGATGAAAGCCGCTCGACAGAGGGCTGAATACTTGTCTTTGTTGTCTGTTGCTGAACATCTGTCTGAGATTTTCTAAATAACGGACTTGATGGTTCAGGTGGCAGAGCGCCTCGCGATTCTCTTCGAAGATGGCCGTGATATAGGACACTTGATTCCTGTGTTTCAAATTGATCATAGTCCACAGAGCGGTTTGACGAATCCACCCCAACATCACCACGGACATGTACATCCAGTTGTCTTTCAAGCGACCGGGCTTTCTGTTGGTGTGGTGACTTTACCCGCCTTGAATTGGGCTGTTGTGCTTGTTCCTGCCGTGCTTCTGCTTCACTTTCCTGTAGTCGCTCATACTCCAGATTATCCTCAAGCTCTTGCTCCTGCTCCTGTTTTTCCTCAAGGTGAGGTTCAGATACCGGCTCAAAACGTTCAGGTTCTTGCGGTGATTCGGACCGCTGCTCAGGCAAGGGTTCGAAGTCTGGCGTATTCCCAGCTATTTGCTCAAGTTCTAGTTCCCGTCCGCGTTCCAGTCGACTTGTTCGATTTGCTTGCCGCTGATGCAAAAGGCTAGATTCCAACTGTGTTCGATATTGATGTTCTTGTCTTTGTTCTGCCCGAACCCAAGTATTGAATTCTGACGCGGGTTCTGGCTCAGGTTCGGGTTCTGGTTCATGTGTTTTCCCCTTTCGCAGCTCTCGTTGTTGTCGCCTTCGTGGTTCTTTTCGAAACCATATGTCGGATTCTTCGGGCTCTTCTTCGGGCTCAAGTGCAGGCTCATGTTGTGGTTCCGCCTCCTTTCCACGTTCAGACCTTGAGGCTCCTTTTGGTTCTGATCCAGCATCGGACCCAGGCTCGAGCGCAAGTTCCGACTCTAGTTCGCGATCCCGTTGCGAATCCCGATGCGAGTTCCGGTCTTGCTCTTCCCGTTCTGAATCTTGTTCCGCTCCTGAATATGGTCGATTCTGGTGCCTTTCCAGAGACTCGCTGCGCTCATGCGCATCCCCCTCTTCCTCTTCTTCCTCTACCACCTCGGCCTCTCCCCTATTATCTCCTGTCGAATATCGATATAGCGGATCGTAACTGGGAACGGGTGCCCTGGGTGTAGTCGTCCAATTGGGATTGACAGAATAATCGATTGTCCTAATGTGACTTGATCGCTCGTCCGATTCCTGCTGACTTATCCGCAATGACCCGATCGTTTTACTGATATAGAAACTTGTCGTGTCTCCGTCGCGGGTATCCTTGTTTTGCGCTCCTCCGTGCCCTTGTTCCTCGACATAGCTCGAATTCTGCTGCATAGATAGTAGCGAATACGGGTCTATCATGGTGAATTCTTCGCCTGGCAACCTAGTCTCTGTTGGCTGAACCGGTGTATCCCTCGGGGTCGCATTGTCATCCTCGAGTCCCGATTCGATGTCGCTATGCGATTCGCCGCCACCAAAGTCTGCGAACTCGACATACTCATCCCCGTGCGAAAGCTCCGACTCCAGCTGGGGCGTTTCTCGACGCGCGGGTTCCGGTCGCAGCTGTTCCACCCTAGAGGATTGCGCTCTTGGTGCCCCGTTCCACCGTCGAGCGGCCGGTGTATCCTGAGGTGGGTTGAACGAGTTGTCCAGCCACAGGTCACCTTCCGACTCGTCAGGCCTAGGGGCATCACTCGAGGGAGCCCCAACACCTGTATTGCCTAGGATGACGTTTGACGGTACTCGTTGAAAAATGCGCTCCCGACGGATATGTTCTTGTTCTTGGTCTCGATCTCGGTTTCGGTCTTGTTGGTCGCGACTGGAACCCGCTTCGGGCACGGGCTCATGGTCGGAGTCGTCTTCTTTGAGGGCCGTAAGATCTCGGTCTATGAGGGCGGAAAACTGGTCGTGCGCAATCGACTCTTTCCTCGGCCGGCCTCGTTTCCTTCGCGCAGAGCCTGGACCCAGCAGACTAGGCTGTCTTACTGGCGACGAAACACCCTTTCTCCGCTTTGGCGCACGACTGCTGGGCCCTGGTGTCAAGCTGATCCGCCGCTTTGTCCCTGGTGTAAACCCGAGCTTGCTGAAATCGATTGTGACATCTGAATCCAAGACATCCTTTGACGAGGACCGTGCTTCGCGCAGTTGAAATCCGGGGGTCGCTGGTCGCATCGGGCGAGTTGTCGTCTTTGGTGTCTCGGAGCGCAAGGCCGTGCCTGGAGTGGCTGTTCGTGGTGGCCTTCCGCGCGGCCTCGGTGTAACAAGCTCGCCAAGTCGAGTAATCTCGTCGTCGTCATCACCCTCCACGCCGCGCAAGGGAACCGTAACCGAAGTTGTTCTTTCTCTTTCGCGGATGCTGCGAGCGGTTGGCGTCGAGTGTTGAAACAGACGGCGACTAACACTGCTTCTTGAAGTGACTCTCGAGCTTTCGGCTTCGACGGTGACCAGCAGGCGCTGGGGCGATCGCGCGTCTCCAACGTCCAACTCGAACATGCGCTTTCTCGGCGTGCTTTCTCGAAGGGCTTGGACTCGCTGGGTTCGCGGAGTGGGCTGCTGGTTTCTCCGGGAACCGCGACGCGCCGATGCGGGTTGGCGGGCTGGAATCGCCGGTGTCACGGAGCGAGAGGCTGGGGTGGCGGCCGTCTCGAGGAGTGGATCCGTGGACGACGAAATGTCGTCGACCGACATCATGGACGCGTCTTCGTCCTCGTCCATGGCAGCCCTGGTTGTGGGCGCATGAGGCCCGGTGTGGTGGTGGTGGTGGTCGTCGTGGTGGATACAGTGCGGTTAATGGAGTGAGTGAATGGTTAAGCAATATGGAAATAGTGTTAGCAAAGGATGCAGCAGAGGGCGCATGCGCATGAAGCCTCCGGTCTACTATCCAAAAGGTGCGAATCTGAAATGCTGTCAATTGTTTACTTTGGAATTTCCCGTCGTTGTTGCGGCGACCGAACCCGACCCCATGATTGATTGACAGGTTTGGATCCGTCGCCAAGCAGCAGCTGTAATTGTGGACGAATGAGAACGCGACCGCAAAACTGTCCCCGCAGTTCGACAGACCCCCGTTAACGGTCTCCAGCTGGCAGGCAAGGCAGGCTGAGAGAGTCCACATTTTCAGGGCTGTGAAAATGCCCGGGCTTAGTTAAGCACGGACCCCTCATACGCCGACGTCATCGCCTCGGCATAATATTTTTCGAAGTCTTTTACGACTCATCAACCATCAACAACACTTTTGTATATCGAATGGGCCTTGAACAATGGGGGTCTACACAACCGAGTTGGAGCATTATGTCTCTATGTCTCAAAGCAATGCTTACACTTACAAAGGGAACATATCCTGAGAAAGACAACCCCATATTAGAAGGCAAATGGATCACCATTAACTCCATCCTTTACACCGTCCCAACCCGGATTACTAATTCCGAACCTATCCCATCCGAGATCTAAACGACACCACTATATCCGCAGTGGCACTGCGGGGGATGACCTGTCAACTTGTTAATTCCAATGCCGAACATGGGCGCGCCCTTCGCATGGCGTGATCGTGCTAACGAATGGCTTCAATTTCACCGTTCCCAGCGTTGAAGCAAGCGCACGTGTAAGTCCAACCTCGTGACGGAAAAACATCGAGACACTGGGATGTGCTGGTGCACAGCATCTTGTTGAATAACTATAATCCACTTAGTGCTTTGAAATCATAATCAATGTTACTAATGTCAGTAAGGTTTTCTAATTTTTATCACCGGTGTGATGTGAATGGAAGAAAATGTTCATGTGAAGGAAGATATAAATCCGTCCACATCCACCACCCCATCATCGTTGTTTGAAAGACATACAACAACAGCACTATCAATACCAAAGCAGCCGTATTATACTTGCTCAGACACTTCCCACTACCCTATCCACAACCAAAGTTCCACCACCCCATCCTATACCATCACACAATGACCTTCACCACCTCAGAAGACCGCGTCCCCCGCGGTGACGTCGTCGCCCCCCTGAACTTCTACGAGCCCCCTTCGGACGGCTCAAGCCCCTTCAACAACATCGACCCGGCCCCCGGCGTTCCCGAGCGTAACTACTCTTACCAAACCCTCTCCGTCACCATCCGCGACATCCGCGGTCTTGAGTCTTCCTTCACACTCGACAACGACGCCTTCCAGATCCTCCAAGGCCTCCCCCCATCCGCCGAAGAAGACCCTGCAAAGAACGGCTCCAACTTCACCTCCGACGCCTCCATTTCCCAACTCTACTACCCCGAAGTCACCCGCCTCCTTCTGGACACCATCCCCGGTTCCAACAAAGTCATCATCTTCGACCACACCATCCGCCGCACCTCCCCCTCTGCGCCCCGCGGCCCCGTGCAGCGCGTACACATTGACCAAACCGCCACTTCCGTCGCGCAACGTGTGCGCCGACACGCTTCCTCCCCTGAGGAGGCCGAGCGGTTGTTGCAAGGGAGGTACCGCATCGTCAACGTGTGGCGGCCGCTGAACAAAGGGCCCGTGGAAAGCTACCCGCTGGCGTTTGCCAGTTCGCAGACGGTAGAAGACAAAGATATAGTGCCCGTCGAGCATCGGTATAAGAATGGATATACCGGTCAGACGGCCGGGGTGCTACATGATGAAGGGCAAAAGTGGTACTTTTTGAGCGGCATGACGGGCGACGAAAGGATTCTGTTGGAGTGCTTTGATAGTTGGGCAGGCAAAGAGGACCTGGAGGAGGGGAGGAAGGTGAAAGGGGGAAGGGTGCCGCATACGGCTTTTGAGGATCCGAGACAGAGAGCGGATGCCGAGGGACGGGAGAGCATTGAGGTGAGGGCCCTGGTTTTTGGACCTTGACTTAGCTGTGGAGGACACAGAAGGCGGGTTGCGGTATTCTCTGAGTGAATGTGAATGAATAATGGTTTGATAGAGTTTAATGGCAGTTTTGAGGGATCGTATGCTGATAGATGTGTGAATTACTGTGTCCGCGAGCGGCAATTTTTCTATATCGTGTTTGCTCCACCGTAGAGCTAGTAACTTGCACCAAAAGTTAGTCGAATGACTGTGAGTCTTGCTCTGTGGAATCAGCTATTGAAATTCCAACAACGTCTTGTGTGGTTGTCGATATTGATGGATTGGAAGGGATAATATAAGCGCAAAGCAAAGCGAAGCCTAGTAGACTCCGAAAAGACGAGCGAAATGTCAAACAGTTGGCGGTAGAACCACGGTAATCAACGAACCAAATAGGATCTATACGTAATACCTATGGTAATGCTACAACTGCAGGCATGAAAGCGTTCAATGCTCAAGTAGCACCTGTAATAAAGTCCAGCCATGTTTCCTTAAACTCCGTAACCCCTTCAATGTATGCGCAACCCTCGATCCAGATCTCAACAAACGCCTCTCCGTCCCTCTTTCCCTTCCTGTGCGCGATGGAGGCAAAACAGGCACCATCGTAGAGGAGCAAACATTCAATGTAACATGTGAAGCACCTTGTGCCAGACGGCGCTGGACACTCTCTTTCGTCGTTGCGAACCGCTTATCACCGACCAATGCTCTTAGCTCTCGTCGTCAAAATCCGTTTCTTAATCATGTCTAGGCCGCCGTCCTCTTCAGCCACCGCGGCCGCCGCGTCCCTTTCTGCTGCTGGTCCGGCTCATCGCCACGCCGCCGTTGGCGCTAGACTGTCTGCTCATAGAAACACCCCCAAGCGCCTTAGCCGGAGACTGGTGATGAGACGGAGTACCCGAGCGGCCGCCCTTTGACGGGGTTCCGATACCGAGACCATTGGTTGGCTCAGATCTTTCGGGCTCGACAGGCTCCTTGATCGGGGGAAGACCAAGGCGCTGCCTGAGTTCGTTCTCCGACGGCCGCTCGCCCTGGACAAAGGACACAAATCTGCGGTCTTTGACCGGGAGCGACACCGACTGAAGAAGCTTCATGCTTCCATGCTCAGTCTGTAGATTGGCGCCCATGCCGTTAAGCTGGTCGTACTGCTTTAGGGCATGCATAACCATCAAGTCCCCGGTCACGTCGTCATTAGCCAGTGCTGCCGGTGTGTTAAACTCAGACTGCTTTGCATGGCCCTTGACATATTGTGACGGGAAGGCAGGAGGCTGCTTAGGGTCCTGACTACTAGTCAAACGCTCAAGGTTACCGGGGAAGTCGAAGTTAGCGAGCATCTCCAAGCCCATGAGTTTGTCGTCAAAGTTGGGATTGTTAGCCCCACTTTTGTTGCTGCGAGTAGCGTGCGAAACGTTCCTCTCCATCATCGGCGCCGACGGAGCCGACTCCGAGTCGAGGTCATCAGGGTCGCCGCTACCAGAAACACTACCCTCGGGGGACGAGATTGGGCGCCCATAGTCGTCAAACCGTGGCTTATGGGTGAGAATGTATTTGTGCGCCGCCAAAGCCGACTGATTGTAGGTCATTGACAATTCCTTATCCGTGAACAGCTTGTCAATGCTGTAGATGGGGCCGGTGGTCTTGCGTTGGACCAGACGGTCTGTCTGCCATAGGGGTGTAGTGCTGTTGGGATCGAGTGCGCGGCGCTGTGGCGCTGGAGAACCGTCGTCATCATTCATGTTGCGCTTTCTTTTCTTGCTGTCCATGCCGTTCATCTCCTCCATTTCTCTCCGCAGACGGGTGGCCCGCTTGCCGTGTGTGCCTCCGGGGCTGGCTGGGTTTGTGATGCTGAATTGGTTGGGGTGTAACAGGAGTGCGGACGCATCGGCAATCTCGAGGGCCTCCTTCTCCTTGTTGAGCCGGTATTTTTTCGAAGTGATGATGTTGATCAATCGGTCGCGGAGGGTCGAGGCAAGCGCCTTGTGTTCTCTGTTCGCAAGCTCCGTCTTATAGGCATGCGTGTTGAGGTATTCGGCGATCTTCTTCTCGTAGTCAAACTGCGAAACCAAGAGTCAGCATTGGCACTTGGACTGACGGAGAGTTGAACGGTTATGATCGGGAGACGTACTTTGAATTTGGTGAGAGCATAATCGCGTTGCTCTGCAAGATCCTGTACGTTCTCCATCCACTTGGCAAACTTGGGGCCAGCCATGTCAAGGAGGGATCGTGGACCACCGTCGGAGTCGGCGCCATTGAGCTGGTTGAGTCGTCTCTGGTCCTCTTCGAAGCTGTCCAAGGGTCGGTCGACATAGGGGTCGACTCGCATGACCAGACTGGTGTCAATCTGGATCTTCTGTAGTTGTTCGCGAAATGCCTGGTCTCTGTCCTTGCTCCATTTGTCGGAAAGGGTTGCAATGCGTTCGGCAAGCATTTGGCGACGCTTGTCTCTCTTAGACTGTGACTGTGACTGACCGGGAGGAGGGGAAGCGTTGGAGCGGCGATCAGGCCGCCCGGAAGGCGCGTCGGCCATGGTAACGTCGGTAGAAGCCATGGCGAAGGGGGTTCTCGTAGATATGTTTCTTGGTTGCCTGTTTTTTTAATGTATCCGGACCAGGTAAGACCAGGCGAGGCAAACCTCAAGGCGAGGCTGGTGGGCGGAAGAAAGAGTGCCCCAGTGCAGAGATTTGAGGCTAGAAGACGAGTAAGTCAAAGTCGACTGGACGACGGGAAGAGAGCTGCCCTCGTCCGCCGATGGACGGGCGCGCAGAATGGTTACAGCGCAAGGAGGAGAGAAAAGGAACGACTTCTGGTGGTCGAAGCGGATTTGGACATAGTCCTCGTGGGATCTTTGTGTGTATAATTGTCGACAGCGAGGGTACGTATGGTGCAGGTGAAGAAATATGGAGAGGCAGGATGGATTGGGGTTGACAGCAGGTTGAGCCGAAGTAAGGTAGAAGGCCGGGAGAATGCAGTGCGGCACTACAGGCAAACCACCTAGCACAGGTCAGTGCAGGTCCCGTCGGCTCATTGTCCGGCCACCGGCTTCTCACTGCACACTGCAAGGGTTGAAATAATGTAGGTTAGGTCGCTGCACAGCGCTTGGTTTCACCTTGCCCTGGCAGTGTTTACAACTACTACAGTCCGGTGATCAAGCTCCACCGCACAGGCGCTGTAAGAGCAATCTGCCGCAGGAAGCAGCGATAGGTAGGTTTGTATGAGCCGAGCTGATGCCGCCTGAAGCTGAAGTTCGCTCCGTCTTGTGGCTCAACCTTTGATGTGGCTGACTTGTAGGTACCTATCATAGTACATACACGCAAACTGCCTGCCGGCGGGAAGCTGAAATAATCCACTAAAGGCTTAGGGCAGGAGTCGTGTAAGTAGGTAGAGAGGTAAAAAGATCTGTGCGACTCGGGCTGTCCCTCAAGGAATATCTCTCCCGCGTCGGTGCCTCTCACCGTGGAAAGTGGGGTGAACTGCACAAACAGCGGAGCAAGCCCAGGGCAGCCCAGGGCGGCAGCTATGTACCTAGTATGTGGTGCGGGCAGGCAACGTCAGGGCGGGCAGCTGTCCCATCGCATCATTGCATCCCGCTTCCCATTAAACAACCCTGAAGACACCCCCCGAAACTAGTTTACAGATGGACTGGAAGACATAGACCATCATCAGTACACAACCATGGAGCACCTCTCGATAAACGATCAACCCCCACCGCCGCCCTTCCCTCAGGGCCCCGGCCAGCCAGGACCCGGCATGCCCCCGCCGGGACTCCTAGGAGGCGGCCGTCCTCCCCAGCCCCAGCAGTTGCCCGCGCAAATGTTCACCACAGCTGCCCAACTCCTCGACCTCACCGATAGTAAGAAGCAACATTGTGAACATGTCTTTTGGACGAGAGGAACTTGGCTGACATAAGTGGCGGGGTACCAACAGAGAAGCTAATGGTAGCATTGCGCGACGGACGAAAGCTCACGGGCATCCTCCGCAGTTGGGATCAGTTTGGTATGCCTCCATGAACCTACCTCTCTCACAACACATGACCACCTACACACGCACGCACGAACGAGCACGAGCATGAAGAGGTTACTGTGTTAACGCGAATCCACTTTTTCCCCACCATTACTAGCCAACCTAGTACTACAACAAACAAAGGAGAGGATATTCGTGCCTCCAGGCACGCAGTCACCCGCCCAGACCAGGGGGCTCTACGCCGACGTGGACCGGGGCCTCTTCGTTGTTCGTGGCGAGAACGTTCTCCTTATGGGCGAGATCGACCTTGACCGCGACGACGACCCGCCCCCGGGCTACGACCCTGCCGACCTCGAACTGGTGCAGACACTAGCCAAGCAGAAAAAGGCCGAGGAGAAGGCCAAGGAGAAGCGCAAGGTCAAGAAGCTTTCTACCATTGGCTTCGAAGGGGAGAACGTAGGCGAGGCGCTTCTGTGAACGATATATGAATCACGATACCCTCAAGTTTTACAAATGGGACGGAAAGAAAGAGAGGGGAGGAGAGACGACCAAAACTTTAACTTGTTATGATTCATACCTACATACCCCTGAAGTGGAAAGGGAGTGTCGAAGGAGGGAATGGCATGAGCGATTGGAAGCAGAATATTGTGAAATGCTATCCGCTCAGCTGCGACTTCACACGAATGGAAGACAGCATAAAGCCTTACACCAAGGTCGGCCCAAGAAGACACCAAGTGTATTTTACCGTTATCAGAGTAGCAATTCGATGGATTGCCTCGAAGTGGACCTGGCCACTACTGACTATGATCATATTTGGGGCAGGATAGCCCACGAGAGATATCTACGACTAACACTTTTTTCCCCCAGGACTACTCACATGGCCGGCACAAAGCCACCTACTTCAACACTCTACCATCCACCCGCCATCATTGACGACCACGCATAGTTTGGGGAAATAAGGCGTCGGCAGTCGTGACCAGCCTACCGGATACCTAGTAACATTAAACTGAAAGATGATATGCAGCAAATACTCAAGCGCCTACAACGGATGTTGCATTCCACATACCCACACAGGAAGCGTCGAGCTTGTTTCGGTCGGAATAGGGAAAATCAACCTCTATCGAGACGGTGTCAGGAGTCTGGATCGGCTGATATGTTTACCGAGACGGGAAACTCCTTGTGGACAAAGAGCGAGCTTAGCATTCCCTGACCCGATATCGAGTGTCTGCGTCGTCTTCTCCAGGTCTGCCTCTGTGACGTTCTCGTTCTTCTCGTCGGGAAAGGGAAATCCGATGTACCTTGGGTTGATCCGCGGAGGGTTCGGTACAAGCCGCTGGAAGATGTCGTTCTGGGCTGCAAGTAGGCCACTGATGTAAATTTGTCAAGTTATCAATGGATGTCTGGTCGGGCGTACCCGAGGATCTACAGGCCGGTGATGTCGGCGCCAAAGGCAAAGTTGCCGTTTCCTACTTGTACGTATTGGTGTGGATTCTGAGCTGGAGGTCCGTTGAGGGTTGTAGGCTTGGACTGCTGTTTGTCTTTCGTGGGCGGGTATTTTGCCCTCAACTGAGCAGGAGAGGAAAATGAGAGTAAGATGCCACACTGTTGGGTGCAGTTCACTTGAGCTATCTCATGGTCATAGTCCTAGGCAAACCTTCATGGTATACTTTTGTTTTGGCAACCACTTCCCCTCATCCATCCGGGCACTACCTTAGGGCAACTCATGGATCGTCGACATAGTGAAGCCATTATTAGGTAGCTTGTCCACCTGGTAGTTTGGGAAAAGTGAGGGGGTCGCTGTCCTCAAAGAAAAAGGTAAGAATGGACACTTGGAAGACATTTAGCCATTCTCCATTGTCTCCGGCCCCTGTTATCACCAAAGTCGTTGATTGCGGGGTGCATTGGCGTCGTTCTGGACGAAGAAGCTCGGTGGAGGATATCTCGAGAGGGGTGATCTTCCACCGTCCATCCGGTGCAACGTCTGATTTCGATCCTGAACGATGGACCACCCAACGACAACTGTACGGATAGTCCCGCACAAAGGAAGCCTCGGAGATGAACAGCCCCATGGGTAAGAGGAGTTGTTTGCCATGTGCGTGGCTGCTCTAGCGAGATCGGGAGTGCCGTCCTCCCGCGATTCGAAACGTCCCCTGCTCCACCGGATGGAGGCTGTGTGGAGAAGTGTTTATGGAGAGAATCCATATCCAAACGGATCCTTTCAGCCGGTCTCATGGTCAAAAACAACTGAACTAAAACAGGTATGGCAGTTTTCCGAAGCTCAAGGCATGCAACGGTCCTTGCGATGATCAATGGTAACAATTCGCCGCGACTGTAGTAAGAGTCAGTATCTGCCCTTTTTTTTTTTTTTTTTTTTGGTGTATGTCTTGGGCACATGTAAGGATGTTGCTCTGGAAAGAAGCTTTGATACCTCGCTTTTGTCAATAAAAGTGACCTTATCGAAGCGGCTGCTCTCGAGGTTGGAATAGGCGGTCGAGACCAGTGAATGGAATGGAGTTGCGCATTGGAATGACCCCACTACCGACGAACCTTATGCGGGGACATGGCAGGCGCTAAGAGCTTCCCGGCTGCCCCTGCCCAGCCGCTGTGCCATCAAAGAGCCCACTCATGATTCGCTGCGGCCAGCGCGAACCTGGCTGTCGTTGTCAGGTCTGTTTGGCGCATCCATCCGTCAAGGTAAACAATTAAAACATGCCCCGTTTCTTCCTCTCCCTTTAAATGTCCTCAACAAACACACTATCTCTGCTTCTACCCTTATACCAACACTCGGCTGGTTAAAATTTCAAGTTAGCGACATCTGGTCTTGATCTTCCAGCATCCGGTATCTGGCGCATTTGCTTGTATCGGTACGTGTTCGCCCTCCCACGGTCATGCGACAAGGACCATTCCTGTTGCCCAGCCCAATGTCACCCGCCAACAAATGACATACCAGCTGCGCCCGCCGCTAACTTGTGCAACCACTTGTCGCAGCTCACCAAACATCCTACCGAACATATCCAACATTTCTTGGTTTGTCGCCATGAGCTCCTTTCTTACGACCGTGTACGTTGAACCCTCCCCCTTTTCCCGCCCTTTATGGGCCCATCGCGAATAGTTGGCGATGCGATGACGTAATTTGGCAACGAAGCGAGGACAAGCTCGCTCGCCGTCGCATCCATCGCCTTTCCAGGAGGTGCAACACACCGCATAACTGGAAGGTCTTTCGACCTCCTCAGTAAAGCCATGAATTTATCTTGTGTGGGATAGCTGTTAACATGATTTGCCGCTAGAAATCAGCGGACGCGCAACCAGTTCCGACCTCGGGCGAGCGGCAAGGGCGGTGCGACCAGCTACCAGCTGCGACAATATGCCGAAGCAACACTTGGCGGAGGAAGTCTGCGCAAAGTGGTGAAGTTGCCTGAGGGTGAAGATGAGAATGAGTGGTTGGCTGTGAACAGTGAGCATCAACCCCGCCGACCCAGCTTGTTTCGCTCCAGGGGCATTCGCTGACCCGCTATGCTAGTGGTGGACTTCTACAATCAAATCAACCTCCTTTATGGCGCCATTACCGAGTTCTGTTCTCCTCAGACTTGCCCCGAGATGAAGGCGACCGACGAGTACGTTTCCATCACAAAATCATACACAAAGACCAACACGCTGACAGAGTCTAGGTTCGAGTACTTGTGGCAGGATACGGAGAACTACAAGCGACCGACCAAGATGCCTGCGCCCGCTTACATTGAACAGCTCATGAGCTGGGTCCAGGGCAACATCGACAACGAGGCCGTCCTACCAAGCAGGATTGGAGTTCCGTTCCCCAAGTCCTTCCCGGCGCTGGTCCGTCAGATCTTCAAGCGCATGTACCGCGTTTATGCTCACATTTACTGCCACCACTACCCCGTCATTCGGGAACTGGGCCTGGAGCCGCATCTCAACACCAGCTTCAAGCAATATGTGCTATTTATCGATGAGCACAACCTGGCAACCGGCAAGGATTTTTGGGGACCGCTAGGCGACTTGGTCGACAGCATGTTACGCAGCGACTAGACGACAGAATCTTGTATGGCTTTGGCATTGGCGCATGGTTATTTGACAGGGCTAAGCACGTAGGCGTTAGGTTGGGTGCGGGTTGGTTCCATTACAGGCATTCGTTTTCGTTTGGTTTGGTGGGCTGGCAACGGGCGCTGATAGAAGGGATTAAGGGACCACGGAATTCAGGGAGGGACGCGCAATGCTTTTGATGGCGCGTAAAGGGCACCGGGATCTCTTTGGTTTTTTTTGTTTTTTATTTCGGTGTAGAGAGGGACAGAGAGGCCTGGAGCTTCTCGTGGAAATAGACGCTTTTTGACACCACAACGAAATGCTGCAGCTTCCACTTCACATGGAACTTCATGTCAATGGCAAGGATGCATGCCGTGCCGATGCTCGGACGGGATGGCACCGATAACGTTATCGGGATGTTGCTTGCCTGCCCCACTGCACTTGGCACGGGCAGTTCCGGAGAAGAAGCTCTGGGCAGTTGGCGGGCGGAAAAGTCTTGGCAGAGGTACCCATTACATACGGCGCAGCTCCAGGATTTGCAGCCTGAGGCAGACACGGTTTTGCCGAGCGGCTCCAAACCCACCCGTTACCTTGACAAAACTGAACCGGAGCTTGAATTCACGACATCGCGGTCCCCCGTCCACCCGTAGCATATCCCACACGCCCATCATGTTGTCGCGACAGGCCCTGCTCCGCCCCGCGCGGGTTCTCAACACCCAGGTCCGCACCTATGCTGCTGCCGCCGCCGCCTCCAGCAAGGTCAAGCCTCCCGTGACTCTCTTCGGTCTCGACGGCACCTATGCCACTGCTCTGGTACGCCCCCGCGCCCCGGACCCCGACGTCACAAGCAATTGAAGCACCCTCGAGCTCCCGTGTTCGTAGGGTTATGTCGATTGGAGCTCTCCCACATCAACCGAACCGACGACCGAACGCAATGGACCGATAGACAGAATATCAGAGAGCTAACATAGTTCCCTGCGTCATTTACACACGATATAGTACACGGCCGCCGTCAAGACCAACGCCCTCGAGCCTACCGCCAAGTCCATCAGCAGCCTCGGCAACCTCCTTGCTAAGGACCCTAAGCTCGCCAGCATCCTCGAGACCCCCACCCTCTCCCCCGCCGACAAGAGCGCCATCGTTGCCGAGCTCCAGAAGAGCGTCGGTGTTTCCAACGAGACCGTCAAGAACTTCCTTGCCACCCTCGCCGAGAACAACCGCCTCGGCCTCCTCCCCAGTGTCGTCGCCAAGTTCAGCGAACTCATGAGCGCCGCCCGCGGTGAGGTTGAGATGGTCGTTACCAGCGCTCAGGTACGCTCGCTTTGTTCCGTTACGTTGTTTGATGGTGGGCAAAAGAAGATCCAGAATGAGGAGGGAAACTACGAGGGCGATGGCGGAAGGGAAGCCGAGCTTATGGGAGGAATCACGGCCAGGAAGAGGAGGACGACAATGAAAATGGGCTTGGACATTGGCGGAAGCTCTGGCTGGAATTGGGATCCTGGGTGAACCGAAACACAAGGAGATGGGAAACAGAAGCGCTAACGAAATGCTGAACTACCACCATATAGCCCCTCGACAACAAGACCCTCAACCGCCTCGAGTCCGCTGTTGCCAAGTCCCCCTACGTCGGCTCTGGCAAGAAGCTCAAGGTCACCAACAAGGTGCGTTTGTCTCACACCATCCCAACCCGGCAAAACTGGAGCTATACCCGACCCGGCTGCTTGGTGATATTAGGCAAAACAACTACTTACCTTCTCTTTCCAAAATTGAACAGGTCAACGCCGACATCATCGGTGGTCTCGTTGTTGAGATCGGTGAGCGCACCATCGACCTTTCCGTCTCCTCCAAGATCGCCAAGATGAACAAGCTCCTTAGCGAGGCCCTGTAAATTCTACAATTATCCGAGTTTCCTAAGAAGAGCAGAGCAAATCTTATAGCATGAACAACCTCCAAACCGACCGACTATTAGGGCTCTCCTGATTGCGCGTCTCTACTGGACTGGGCGAAAGTGAAGCAGCGCATACGTTACGTCATCTGCTATAAAAGGGAGTGAAAACTCCTGTGTTGCGGGCATGGTCTCTGGGGCATCAGCAGCAGCAGGAAAGACGGGAGGAAGGGGGAAGAAAAAGGGAACGAACCCCTTTTGTGTGTAGGATGAGCTTGGAATTTCAAAAGATTCTACAGCCAGTCAATTTTTTCTCGAGAGCGTCCCTCGTTGTTTCGTGTTTTGGACTCTTGTTGTTGACACAAAAGGGCAAAGCAGTGCAAAGGTTTCCTGACATGTTGCACTTGGTTTATGGGAGGTGAGTGTTTCCAAGATTATTCAGGCCCATATTCAAGTTCAGCAGCCATGCATGGCCGTGGTTGTGTTCCCAAAGGCATAGACCTGCTTGACGCATGACACTTGCTTCGGCTGAGATGATCGGGCCCGATCAATAAGTACCACTTCCTCCTACCGGACAGCAACTTACCTACTTATCTACCTAATCTTACCTACTCTGTATACGACATGCCGTCGCTGTCAAGAGCCTGCACATTCGCTGCGTGGTTCGAGACGTCTATACAGCGAAAAGAGACGTATTCAATGCTAATTCGGGGGTGTCTTTTGACACGAATGATAAACACTATGGTATATACATGCTAATGATAAAACCATATAGGCACCTAAACTCCGTATAATCCACATCTAGTAATGAAACACCGAAAAGAAACAGCTAGTTGATCGATCGAGAGGTAGCCCAGTTCGTCTTTCTGCAACCATATCGCTTTCTCTGTCCTGATTGAGATACGGGCTCGGCATCATCCGTCCAAAGTCCAACTCATTACGCATCATCGTCGTATGTCCAAGCTTACTTCTTCTATTATACTTCATGCCGCTTCTCAGCCATGTTGCGCCCGCGTATTTCGGGATACCGTGTCGGAACTCTTCGAGGATGTGTCTCAACGACGTTGGTTGGGACTAGCATAGCCTTGCCTTGGCCTGGCTATAATGTATGCGTCTCTGCCGATCCCAATGCTTTTGTCTTGCATTTTATCTTATCCTCCCTGTTATGCACTTTGAACCCCCTCTGTCGATTGTCCAAGGCCTCACAATCCGGCCAACAACTAATTCGACTGCATTAGATCCACGGCATTGGTGACATTTCTCGCTCCCCCTCTCCCCGTCTCTGTCGTAATGCTGCTAATTGTACCTCCTTCTGGAAAGCTCTCAAGGTTCGCCGCCCGGGTGAGTACTATGTACCGGTTCGGCTCTTCAAAGTCTTCAAGCTCTACCATTTACTCGGTGCCGTCAACGACTGTTCCGCCGATGACGGCATGTCCGAACTCGCCGCCTCAATTGGCACCTCCGCTTCCAATTCGGCAAATTGGTGCCCGGGGTGTTCGACGGGTCGGCTGTACGCGTGGCTCGGACTGCCACTCCGACTCTGGTGGCTCGCACTCGGCCAGACCGGTGACAAATGAGCTTGTTCCGCCTCGGCAGGGTGTCCAGGTGGCGGCGTAGTAGGCGTACCGCATTTGAACATGGAGAACCGGCTCATGTGTCTCGATGGCTGATGACCACACTCGGACGCCGCCACGATGGACGAGGCCTCTCCCGACAGCTCGTAGTGCGGTTGCAGGTCCTTGGGCGGCACGGGCGGGGGGTTGCTGATGATGCTGACGAGATCAGCAACACCATCACCACCACCATCACCACCCTCACCTTTGCTGCTGCTGAGGGTTCCGATGTTTTCAATGGTTCTTCTACGCCGTAGTAGTCGCTTTTTCCGCCACCAGCGTTTAAAGAAGAGGAAGCCCACGGAGCCGGCAGCGAGGAGAGCGACGGCTGCGGATCCAACGCCGATACCAATGGCCGCGCCGGTACTTACGCCGCCGCCGCCGCCGCTACTACTGCTCGTCGTCGTTGCTAATGGATCGTCGGTGATTGTTGGTTGAGGTGTCGTCGGTAAGGAGGTAGCGGTTGCCATCATGCCGGAGTTATCCTGCTCTGAGGGTTGGATGTACCCCCCGTCTGACATTGCTCCAAGGACGACCTGGATGCCATAGGCGCCGATGCCGCCTCGTCGTTCGGATACGGTAGTGTGAGGTCCGATGGTTCCATCGGATACGACAGTCACACCCATCAGGACCTCAGCTCCCTTGGGGAAGGTTGTGGTACATGCTAGTGCCTGATCGGTGTTGTCGGCACAGGTAAAGGTGAGGGCACTGTTTTTGGTGTTAGTATCCTGACAGCTGTTTTTGATGTGGAAAAAGGTTTATCGTACGCCCCGCTCGGACAGCACACAACTGCCGTTTGAGTCTTACCCGCGGCCTCTGTGTCTGTCACAGGGAGCCCAGAGCGCGAACATGGTGCTGTCGTGTATCCCTTGGGACAAGAGCCGGGGTTGTAGTAGTAGGACGGGTTCGCAACGTAACCATCAGGAAAGCAATTCGAATCAGGTGTGTAGAGAGGACCGTGAATGTATTCGGATGCGGTCCCCTTCCAGACCTGATATATCTGGGGGGTGTTGGTGGTACAACTGGCTGGTGGTGTGAAGGTCGTCGTTAAAGGGCCGATATTCGTCATGGTGGCGCCGCACTACGCATTCAAGCGGGCAGCTCTCTCTTAATGCGTCTCAGATCCAATGCCTGATCGAGATAAGCATTATAGGTATGGGTATGAGGGTCGGCGCGTAGGTAGAGAAAAAAGATGTCAATGTTTCCTTCGCGTCACTTGCTCGGTCGACAAGACTTGCTGCAACTCAAGCCTTTTGGTGGGAAAACAACAACAAAGCCGGGAGCAAAAGAGGTGCATTGTCTAAGTTCTCTTGTTTCTTTGATCACAGCCGGAAGAACAAAAACCTGAGACTAGTCCGCCGCCCACGGACAAGATGGACTGTTGGTGAAAGATGCGAGCTAGGATGCATATGGACGGGCTGGCGGATCGGCAGACCGTCAGGGGGCCATATGTACCCGTCCCCCACCTACCCACGCAGCAGGCGCTTGCTGGAAATGTAACCGATCGATGAACGGGGAGATGAACCTCACTCATTTGGGCTTAGACGCGACAAGCAGGCCAATGGGAATGTCAGCCAATCTGGAATTTAGCCCCGGAGAGAGTGTTCACTTGAGAGCGGTCGGTCACCGTCAACCTGAGGCTTCTGCGTACGAGGCGGAATATTCGAGATCAACCGGATGCTCGGTTGTCGCGGTGAGGTTGGGGGAGTCGGAGTGAGTGCGATAACTTGAGTTCACGATGGGACTCGAGGTAGACAGATTGGCGGATTTGTAGGTTATTTTTATCAACTCTCAGTGAGCACGTCGACAATCTCCTACAAGCCATAGTGTTTGATGATGAGAGTCACCGGCTT